GTGTGTGCTCACCCTGTACAAGCCACTTGCATCTAGATTCTCAGTCATACATACACAAATATATGTATTGTCAATGCAAAGGTTGAAAATGATGTGACTTACCAGGACTTCTCAGAACATCGCAGATGTGAACCAATGTAACTCATGACACCTGCAGGATAAATAGATTATTTCCTGGGACTTCTGCATTTTCATACCCAAAGATCTGTGCTTTCACATCTCTAAACTGAAACAAGAACATGCTTTTGATGCAGTGTAATTAAGCGCAGATTTTAAGTGCTTTGGGATTTGTTGGATTTGACAGTGCTATGTAATTGTAAGATCACTATTGTACACAAATCTTATATCATTGCAAATGATTAGTACTTTTAGTAAGATTTCATTGTGTTGTTTTTTTTTCTTTTTTTGTTGTAAGGCGATGTCAGTGTATATATTTATCTCGTAAGTTAGATTTTTAAGCTATTTAAAGCTTCATATTTACAAAAAATGTTTTCTATTTATATGATATCATGAAAGATAAATGACATTATTGGTCATGGAGCACTAATGCATAACCAAACAGGCAAATCTATTTTAAAATACTATTTCTATAGCATAACCCAATATGCATTTTAATTTTAATTATTACAAAAAAAGTTTATTTATGTCTACATTTCTAAAGCAGCTTCCTACTTTCATAGACAAAAATGTAACTTTCTTCACATTGTATCAAAATTGACTAGTTTCCATTTTAAGCTTCTTTTCAACATTCTGTCATATTTGCAAGGATTTTCCAGGATGGATATCAGTGCTGGGCAAAATCAGGCAGAAAGTTGCAACAAAGTACTACTCTGCTGTGTTTTTGGCTTTGTACCTTTAAACTTCTCCCATAATCAGCAATGTAAATACATTTCAGGAAAGATTCATTCTTCTTTGCTCACTGTTCTTATGTGTTGTGGTTTAACCCAGTAGGTAGCTAAGCACTACAGTCATTCACTCACACCCCCCACCTCCCAGTGGAATGGAGGAAGCAGAGAAAAAACGTGAAGTAGAACTCATAGATTTTGAGATTAAATCTATTTAATAAAAAGGAAAAAGAAGTGGAGAAAATAGTAATGATAATTTTTGTATATTTATATATACATATATGTACATCATATACATACATATATATACATATACACACACACATATGTATATATAAAACAAGTGATGCACAACACAATTGCTGGTCACCAGCCAAGTGATAGCCAGCCAGTATCCAAGGAGTGGCTGCCCACCCCTGTCAACTTCTCACTATTTTTCAAGGTTTTTTTTAGCATGACATCATATGGCATGGGATATCCCCTTGGCCAGCTTAGGTTGTCTGTCCTGGTTCTGTTCCCTCCCAAATCCTTGTGCCCCTTTAGACTCTGTAACCATCAGGGCAGTCTGAAAAGCTGAGATATCTTTGGCTCTGTGCAGCACTGCTAGAACTAAAACATTGGTGTGTTATCAACATTGTCTTTCTCCAAAAGCCAAAACATAGCATTAAATAAGACACTATTAAGGAAAAATCATCTCTGTCCTAGCTGAAACCAGGACATTATGTAATGGTGAAAATAAGAGTTTGCTTGGAAATGTTCTCATTAAAAATACAGCGAAGTTTAGGCAGAAAGATAGATGTGTAAAGCAGTCATCCTAGGCTTCTCTTAGCATCAGTAAGAAACGGGGATGGTTACACTAACTCTAAGTGACCAAGACAGGTCAGATGAATTACTGCTCTTCTTTACCTGATCCTGAATCTTGACATCAAGAGTTATTCCTAGCATGATAATTTACTGCAGATTTTTCCCTGTGTCACCATTTCACATAAAAGTTTGGGTTAGAAGAGAACTTACAGATAATCTACTTTCATTCTCCTGTCAGGTGCAGGACACATTCCACTAGACCAGGCTGTTCAAATCTCCATCCAACCTGGCTTTGAACACTTCCGATGAGGGGGCATCCAAAACTTCTCTGGCAAACCTAGTCCAATGCCTTACCACCCTTACAGTAAAGTAAAGAATTTCCTCCTAATATCTAGTCTAAATCTATCCTCTTCCAGTTTTGGAATGACTTGGGTTTCAGTTTCTTTTTTGTCATATCCACGTGGAGTAATGAATCTGCTTTCCTAATGACTGACAAAAAAATGTCAAAAAATGAGGGGAAAATGCTGAAGACTGTGTGGAACAAAGATAATGTGGAACATTTGGGGAAATACTGCATTCCTTTGGCTACCCAATAGAAGTGATACATCCAGGCATTGATTTTTGGGCAGATATTTGCTCAAAGCCCTGGCTGTGTGGGATGATACTTCATCAATTCTACTGATGGAAAGAATCATTTGAATTTGTGTCACTACAGGCAGTGTCAGCTGAGTTAGATGATATTACGCCCATTAACTGCGTAATCTAATTGAGCTGAAATGTCTACCACTGGCTTTGGGGTTACTCACCCAAATTGTCAGAGAGCTTTGGAATCCTCCACACTTGTACTTTCAGGTGTCTTGGTAGTGATTTTTCATTATAGCCAGTTAAGTGTTTATAACATCTTCTTTTAGATTTGGGCTTTGTCACTTGAATTCATGTTTTGTGAATAGACTACAGACATTTAACTATACTAAGATCATAAAGATGACTTAGTGTTTATAAATTAGAAACACTCAGTGATGTTTCTCATGAGTTTGTGTTGAACTGTTTAGTTTGGGTTTTTTAATATTGATTTTGACAATCTTAGAAAATTTGTCAGCAGTTAAACTCAAATTATTGAACTTGTGTACATGAATGTGCAGACCATTTAAAATATGACATATACAAACACAATGTCATATTTGTTTCTCATTTGTTAGATTATTTATGAGATTATTTTGTTTTCAGCAGTTACTATTTCCCAATTGACAATAGTAACCTAACCCTTATAATAGCTTTATGCATTGTCCACTGTAATTAGAGTAGGACTCACACTGACTCTCATTTTTTTTCTATTACTACTAAATATGAAATTTCTGTTTCATATTATTTCAATAAGCAAAAATAGTTTATTACTGTAGGAAGTCCTTAAACGTGTCTGGAGTAGATATGAGTTTACTTTTGTAATATAGTTATGCTACCATTGAAACAAAGAAAATCTAATGTTGAATCTGCAGTGCATGCTGTAATACTTGTCAGTTTTCCTCTCAGGAATGAAACAAAGGTGCTTAACATAGAAACGTACTTAGCTTTCAAATCCTGAATATTAAACATATCTTGTTCTTGAGTAACACTCATCTGAATTCCAAACATTCTCTTAAAAAATATTTTCATTGAGAGATCAAATATTTAATCAGATTTTCAAAACTGACTCGATGTTTCAGTTTCTAATGGTACTTAAGATTTCTCAGTTCTCTTATGTAAAAGACATCTACAATTTATTTTAAAATGAGCATGTTATTTAAGTGTTTTCAAAAAGAATTCTGAATGTTTCATTCCATTCTGGGCTAATAGGAGAATGTAATGCAAACTATGCTCTCAGAAAATTTAGTAGAATTACTATTACAACAATAAAGCTTGTTTTCAATTTAAGAATTATTAATAAAAATATAGTAAGCAATACCACTTGATAATTTCATACTAAGCAAATCACTGGGAAAATGTCTCAGTTGAGAACAACTTATGGTGAGGCTTACAGTCTGTACAAGAAGACAAATGAGCAGAATATTATAAAAGATGGTTCCCAGTAGAAATTTAGTTGGTATCTCAATGACCTATCTGTAAAATCCTAGGGTGCTTCAAGATGTATGTTTAAATCTGTAAAAATTAGTTTTCTTCTTGACCTGTTGGATGCAAACTCAGTCTCTGAGTCCTCTTATGTTGGCCTCAAAAGTAAAAGTAAAAAGGTCTTTATAGCTTGTATATGCATTATGAAATAAAATAATAAAAAAAAAAGGTTGTTTTGATTCCCTTTTCCTTTTAATTTTTTTTTTTTTTTATCTGAATGTCGACTTGGGAAAACATTGATATATTATGCAATGTTCAGTCATGAAATATTTGTTATATGGTCATAGAATCTTAGCAGAGCCTGAACTGTACATTACTGAATGTCTACAAAGACTGCTCCAAAAGTAATGCCTTCTATTTTATTATGTTGGCCCATGAAATCAGAGGCAGATGTTGGTGATACGACAGTGGAGGTTGAACCTTCCAACCAGTATCCCATTACATTTTGTTGCCGGTTGACAGATGGCAGCAGATAGAAGTCTGTCAATGGTCTTCATTTACGAAGACCAAACATTGAGGTGGTGGCTAGTATGTTTCAGCAGTGGTGACAGCAACAGTATATTGCTTCTGCTGGTGAAGATTTTTACAGTACAGCGTGCTGTTGGTCATATCTGGTAAAAACGCATAGCTAATGGTGGTTACTATCTTGAAAAATAATGTTTTGTAGCTGAGGATTTGCTCTATAACATAGAGTGATTGTGCTCTTTGTATCCGTTGTAGTTTTTGTGGAAATAAATAGGAGGCATTACTTTTGGAGTGATCTACATATGTATTTATAAATTGTCTCATAAATGTAAAATAATTCAAAGTAATATTTGGATAATTATCTAGAATCCGTAGAATTTCTGGAAGTAGCTGAAAATCAGCAAGGTTATTTTTACCTTTCACCTAATTCATGTTTAAAATGCCATTGTGCTAACCCTGTACTTGGAAACTACAGCATAAAAGAATTAAAAAATAGACACTGCAGGCCATACTCTGCTGTCTTTCTGCAGCTGAAACCTCTACAAGTTTAACTTGGAAACCTGCTTGGGGAACAGTGGCATACTTTGACCCTTCTCTTTCATTGCAGTTTAATATTCCATAAGTGTCCCTATAGAAACATATATGCAGTTCCTCCTAGAGAGCATAACTTCTTCAAAGTTTATTTATTCTAACAGTGTTTTTTGTTGTTGTTGTTTTTGTTTTTGCTTTGTTTGTTTGTTTTCTCCCTTTTCTTTTTCTTTCCTCCAACTCCTCCTTAAGCTATCTAGCAGCATTTTGGATATATATAACAGTGACCAGGGAATGGCACCAGCTAATATGAGTCTCACAACTGCATCTTGTCCAGCTAATCTACCAGTAAAAAGGGAACTCACAGGTAAAAGAACTCTGATATTTTAACATTTTACAATTTCAAAAGTGATGGCGTTTCTCTTAAAAGCTGAAAAAAAGTTCAGAAGTTCATTTCCTGAGAATTTTTCAGTGTGCAGTTTCATTTATGGAAAAGGACGACGGCCATGGAGAAATATTTTCTCTCTGTTCTTCTCTTTAGCAATTCTGAAATGTTTGCTCTGTAGTTCTTATGAACATCATGCTTCTAATAAACCTAATTATTTTGGGAAACATAGTGAATTCTTCCACATGTTGGCTCCTGATCAATGGTATAAATAAATTATCATCCATTAAATTTGTTCCAGAGTAAAACAAATGGTTCTTTTAAAAGCTCACAATAAGGCTATTCAAGGTAAATTTATGTTAGTGGATTAACAACTTTGAACGTTACATTCAATTAATCCAAAGAATGCTAACAACTGTGTACAGTTTATTAGTGTCACTCAGAGGAAACAGTGAGCTTGTTCAATATGAGTTATCTTAGAAATCTTATTAACTCTTGCATTATGGGATATGCAAATCCATATTCACATCAGTGTACTGTTTTATCCTGGTGTAAAAGTACAGAAAATTGGAGAAAAATAGTCCTCCATTTTTATATTCTTAAATAAAAAATCTTCCTTAATGAATATCTTAAGTAACCTGCCAGACTTAGCTCAAAAATTGAATACTGGTAGAATATAGATTCGCTTAAGATTTTGTTTAATAATAAAAAGATTAATGAAGTAAAATGACTAGAAGTGTGCTTTTTGTGAAAAGAGGCCATTTTGAAATGGTGATAGGATACAGGACTTGCAATTTAAGGGCTGTTTAATAAATGTTACTTTCTGTCAGAAGCAGATACGCGAGCAATGGCCAAGGAGAGACAAAAAAAGGATAACCACAATCTCAGTAAGTATGCGTGCATCTTCCATCTTGTTAAATAGAGTGTATGGGAACCAGTGTACATTAGCTACCATACCTCTGCTCATTGCATCTTACCAGGGTTGTCAAATTTAACTTAGTCTGTGAACAGCCAACTACACAGCTTTCTTCCCCAAACTGAAGTTGTCTTTTACATTTTTCTTTCAGTATACCTTATACGGTATTAATGGATTTCTTTATACAACATCCCCTGTTATTTTACAGTACTGTTGTATATATATCCTGTGCATATACATTTTACTTGATTTCTTTAAGAATTAAGGTGAAAAATAGGCAAGAAAATAGGCAGACAGTGAAAAAGAAAACAAAGCAGAAATGATCCAGGCTTCTCACTTGTTACTTACTGAAACATCCAAGTGAGAGATGCATCTCTCTATTGGTAATTGGAAGAGAAAAGTAATCATTCAATCAATCAAATATACAAACAAAAATTTATAAACTAGCTGGTGTAGTGAAGCAGGTAAAGCTATGGAAACAATACATTGCAGAAGGAGATCAGAACAGAACTGGATGACACAGTGCTCTGGCTGCTCTGAGATACTTTAAGCTTAAAACAGTGAATTTCATAGTTCAGTGTTTAAATATTAAACTTAAAAACTAAACAACATTTTTTAAAGTCTAGAATAGATAAATATACTCTTATTGCTGAAAGAGAAATGCCTGTAAGATTGTGTGATTTTTCCCTCTAAAGAGTCATCTAAAGCAAAAATCTGAAGCATTCTCTCTGAAGAGTGTTGAATAAAACAGTAATATTCTCTAGTTCTCCTTTATACTTCTGGCAGAAATAATTCATGAATTACCTAAATTGGTGATTTGATAAAGTGGTAATCACCACTAATTATATCTTTCCTCTCTGGCTATTCCAGTGACATTGGAGAGATTTACAACTTTAGTTGCATGTGCCTGAAAGTGTACATACACTGGTACATTGTGCTGGCAAACAGTGCAACAACTTCCTACTACTTTGATTCTCCAGAAGGCATCCTTGTTTCTGTCTGCATATTTTTAGTGGATCACAAACAAGCCATGTAGATTTTTTTGTTTGTTGCGGGCACATCTTCTCTGAATTACCACAGTATCTGCTGCTGGTCTTGTTTGGGTAGGAATAGAGAGTTTTGGCTGGCCTAGGAAAGGTGGTGGTTAGGAGTTGTCTGGAACTGCCAGAAGAACAAGACAGTTGCAAGCACACATTAGGGATAACAGGTATTACCATTTCCTCCACAATTTATTTTTTTTTTTGCTCTGAGGTCATCCTTTCTGCAATAAACATGTTTGTGAAATGTCCTTCAGTGCTAGAAAGTGAGATGAAGACAGTATGCCAGGATCATGGCAAGCAGACTCGTGACATCGCTTCTAGTTAGGCTCCAGGTGCATATTTCAGAGCTCAAAGTCTTTCTGGAGATAGCTCTGCTATATGAACACTTGAACATATTAGCACGTTACCTGTAGCACATTTATTAGCATCATTACCTATTTTAGTTACATTAGAGATGGTGAGAAAAATCAGTTTTTGGAACTTGATCAGAATTATACCAATGTTCATCATAAAGGTCCACACTTCAGAGAAATGTTCTTAAACTTTCCTTTTGAAATATTAGATTCTCAATGGAACTGTGAAGGGAATTTAGATCTAAGAAATTGAACCCTTCTTTATGCAATTACAACAATTTAAGCCATTACTTTTTTTAATTATTATTTAACAATCAAAAGTATTAAAGCTTTTATGTTTTCTTGCTATCTGATCATCCTTGTATATGTACTTTAATTTCTTTATTGTTATTTTGGCTTTGGTATAATTTGCTGCTTGAGATTTTTTTTTTATAACCCACTGTATCAGTGAAATTGTGACAGGAATTAATCAGGAAAAATATTTCAAAATTTCAGAATTTCCCTTCTGATTCACTAGCATAACCATTTGAAATTTATTTGCAGGAAAAAAATAAAATAGAAAGAAAAAGAAAGAGTCTACTTCCATTGGAATTTTTTTTTCTTTTTTTTTTTTAATTAGCCAGTGTTCACTATTTTTGATGTGTCTCTTTCAGGACTTTCCCACACTATAAATGTGAATTAAACTGCAACTCCTAAGCTGTAAAACTGCATGTTTAATATACATTCTTTTAACCTCACTATAACTAAAGACATCATGTTGTTCAACTGCTGTGTGCTTGAATACACTGTGTTCTCCTAAGAGATCCAGCGTGTTTATGCTAATGGGTTGAAAGGGATAACAACAGTACATTCAGATGGACTATAATCCTATCCCCTGAATATGGAAATTTCAACTACAAAGATTGAAATGCTTTAATCTGTAAAGCAAAATTCCTGTTCTAGAGAGAGAAAAATGTTGATACGTTTTGCCAAGAGCATTTCAGGAGGGTAAACAGTAATGTCCAGGCAGGTTTGAACTGGAGTCTGTGAGGGAGAAAGTAGCTGAGTGACACACGAGCCTAAAAGGCTTGCACGGGCGGGCAAGAAGGAAGATCTCTATGTTCTGGGAGAAGGAAAGGAATAAAAGTGAACTACGTGGTGGAGCTGAATCTGCAAGTGATATACAAATATGACTGTGAGAGGTTGAAGTCAGCCTAGGAAGACCCACCAGGCGTCTCTTGATTGCAGTCTTCTAATTCAGCTGTCCTGGGTTCTAAGGATAGGATTTTTGTACAGGCATTCAAAATTAAGGCATTAAACTTAAAGTGCGCATCTCCATCTATGAATGCAAAGGAACATTTAGCATTCTGCTTGTGCTTGGGTCATTTCTGGTCTGGCAGAGGGTAGTGGTATTAGCATTTTGAGCTCATGGAAAGGTTGTCCAAAAAATGGGGAGCATCAGAAACTGCTCTGAAATGAAAGTGGTGGGCTGAAATTGAATCTACCTATTCAGTGCAGCTTTTATTGGGTCCAAGTACCATGTGAAGAGAGCAGATAGAAGTGCAAGATCACACCAGTAGGACATTCACAAATACCACAGCCATACTCCTGTAGTATCTGTCATTCTTCCTCCTCATTTTTTTTTTTTTTTTTTTATTTTTTGTTTCCTGATAGAAAAAGTATAATTTGCTATTCTTCTAGGATTTCCATGCTATCTCTCAGTTTAGGCTACCCTGGAGCTGGAAGTCCTGAGTAGCTGGCCATACCACATACAACAGGATCTGCATTAAAGCACATGAACCAATGATGTTTCTAATCTGTTAATTTCAGCCTCATAATTGTCTTACTATGTTATCTAGATTGTAACAGACTTACTGCATTTACAGAACGTTTGTTTAACATCTCCAGTATGTCCTAGGTATTTTATTTCCTCACTGAATATACTTTCTGTGTCACAATTATGTACCAGAAATCCCCCAAAAGTTATCTTTTGGGCCACTGAAAAATATGATATTTCTACATATATATGTGGAGAAAACCTTGTGAGAATGCAGGGGAGAAGTCTCTCTACATTAGTTAAATGGAGGCAGAAAGGTGACAGGACTTCTGTGTGCTCCATTCTGGATTCCAATATTTCAAGAAACCAGATTGAGAGCACAAAGAGGGAGAACTACTTCTAAGAATCACAGAATTACAGAATCATAGAATGACTGAAGTTGGAAGGGACCTAAAAAACTATCTTCTTTTTATCTTTCTAACTAAACTGGAAGTAAATAAAGATAAAATACGTAGTTTTTTTGTTTTTTTTTTGCATAGCAAAATTCAATTTAAATATAATTTTTTAATTGTTCAAATAGTGTTTTTCTTCATTTTCTGAATGTTATTGTAAAATTTATTCTAAATATTATTGTGTTGTCCATCACCAAAAGAAACAAATGTTCTGGGTATTAAATGTTTCTGGAGCATAATGAAGAGGGATGGCTGTATAAGTCCTCTCCATGGTTTAAAATGCTGTAGATAAGAGATAACAAAGCTGTTAACCATGGTCTGTAGCAAGAGTTCTAACAAAATGTGAATATTTCACCATTAAAATAGTAACTTTAGTTTCTTTTTAACAGTTGAGAGAAGAAGAAGGTATAACATTAATTACCGAATCAAGGAGCTTGGCACACTCATCCCCAAGTCTAATGATCCGTGAGTTCAACAGTCTTTCCTATAATAATGTTTATCATTTAAATACAGGAAAAAAAATCATAGTTGCATACTGGCCGTAGGACTGACTGATGTAATACAAAATGGTTTGTGCCAGGCCACTAGCTTGAATCAGTCTGTTAATGGCAAACTTCTGTCAGATTTCTGGTGCCTGTTGGGAAAACTTATGTGAAAGGATAATAAAATAAAAACAGTACTGGTGTGTCACACACCAGGAAGATGGAGTGGGGAAAAGATAAGCCAAAAACACCACAAGTCTGTGTGATATCTCTGGAGAAGGAAGGAATGATACTTTCAGCCCTCACCATGGGCCCTCTAGTGGGGTAAGACAAAATATGTGCTGTCACTATCTGCCCTTTGGCTAAGCAAAATAAATAAATAAGCAAACAAAATATTAAAATTCAGGTTAAGAGACTGCACACTGGGCATTTTTCAGAAGTATTCCAGTCAGTGGAGGAAAAAAAAAGTCCTGAAAAGCAAGGCTAAAAATAATAATTGCTATAATAGTAGCAATTTATACTAATGAGTATACTTACAGTAATACAAAATGTACATTTCTTAAACTGTATCTGCATTTCCTTCAAGCTTATATTTGTCATCAATATGAAAAAAAATCTGCCTCAGTAGGAAATACTATTGTATGATTAGCAGTAGCAATTCAGTGGGTTATTTAATGCTAGACTTCAGCCTTTGATATTTTATGTCGCTCAGGGAAGACTTAAGAACATGTTTGCATTTTGCATAAAATTGATTATACACATTTGTTCTTTATCATTTGCATGTCAGTACAGACCTGCATTATACTTCGAAGGAAAACATCTATTGATATTTCAGCTTTTTGTTTTCTTCCGGACTAAGAAACTTTTGATTATGTGAAGGATTTCTATAAGACTATAAAACACTGTAAGACTTAGATATAGACAAGATTGGCAAAACTAGACATTTTGAGTGAAATCATCAGAGAGAAAGTTAACATGTCATTACTCTTTTAGAGAATTCACTTTTCATTCTACAGCATCCATTCAAGATTAGATAAATAGGCACATTCTTGTTATTAATATAGATCTGAGTGTTACAGAGTGCTAAAATAAGAAGTACTTTAAGTGTCCACATAAATTTTTGGATGCTTGTGATCACCTGCAAACAAACACTGGTAAAATAATTTTAATTTTGCTGGCATATCTTTCAGTATTCAAGGCCATTTGGGCAAATAATTGAAAGATTTCTCAGAAAAACAGTGGATGGCACTGTTGGTTTGCAGCTATAAAGTGATAATGGAAGCAAGTTATATTGCAATTAGAAATGAGCATGAGGTACAATTTCTAGTTGTAGTTTTGATTACCTACAGAGGTGCTTCAGCTACATGCTTTTGGTTTGGATTCCAGTTTTAATTTGTTCAAATTGTTAACAGTCATTTATAATGTACTTAAAATGAACGCTCCAGAACTGCAATTTTATTCCAGTAAGTGGATGATGGATTTTACTTACTGATTTTGGAGATGTAGCCTTGGATCAAAGTTTCAGAAAAATATCCTGACTGCATCAGCTTTTCTTGTTTTAGTCTCCAGTCCCATGATTGTGTCCAACAGAGCATTGGCCCTAGAAGAGCTTATGTCTGCAAAAGCAAAAAACTCTAGGTTATGAGGATTGCTGTCTTCAAAAGGCTGGTAATTGGTACTACTTTTAAAAATGGGCCTATTTTAAAGTGTTCATGTTGGTATTAAGAAGAAAGAAGCATCAAATACGCTGGACACAATGAAAGATGAAGTTATAACGTAATTTTGCTGCATTTTGGTGCCAAGTTAAATTCCTCTGAAGAAGTGTAAATACATTTTTATACATATTTGTAAGAGGAAATACATCAGTTTGACCATGTCATTTTGTTGGCTGAACAGATCAAAATTATTTATTTCTAGTATCATTCTGTGTTGCCAACTCATAACTCAGAGTCCTTATCTTCTCTTTCAGTTCTTTCCTTTTCCCTAGAATACCATACTGTGCCCCCAGTCTGCCCTCCTCTTCTTTGAAAGACGGATGTATCAGCTCTTACAATATTTTATCTGTAACATTTTACCACGCATCACATTTTCACCTTATATATTGATTTTTAAATATTCTTCTTATATTATAGTGGGAGTTTGGGTGTAAAGGCAGAAACCTTACTGGTGCGTGGATTAATGACAATGAAACAAAACAGCCTTTGCATTGAAGAGCAAATACTGCTATGACTAAGTCACTGTGGTTAGCATGCCTGTCCCAGATGACTTGCTTCAATAAGATTATGTTCAGACTCAGGAGTAGAAAAGGGCATTTTTGATGCTATTTGGAAATCTTTTATGAATCATATTTCTCAGAAGTTTTTTGTTTGTTTTTATTTTATTTTACTTTTGTTAGTTATATGGTGAACTTGTTTGGCTCCTACAAAGCCTCTACAGGGACTTGCTTCTGAAAAGATAAAATCCCTATTCTCCTCCTCTTTACTATTTTTCAATTTAATGATGATAACTATGGATTATGTTACTTGAATGAATAGATGTTTTAAGTTCACTTCATTAGCATTGGAAAATAGAGATAAGTTGGAAAGAACTTTGCCTCCTTTGTTTAATTTTCAGAGCTTAGGTAGCTAAGTGATAGATGTTTCAGAAATGCAAAACTCTTGGAAAAATTTGAAGACAATAAAAAAGACCCAAAATTTTAATCATATTTAGCTAAAAAAACAAAACTTTTTTTTTTTAATTATACTCTTACATTCTTGATTTCTTCATGTTTGGCCTTTCAAAATCCGGTGGCTAACAGGGTGATAGAGGGTGGGAATAACAACTCAAGAACTGTTTTAGGTAGCTAGACTGGAATTGTCAGAAATACTGAGAAAAAACATCTTTCCTTTATGAATTCTCGTCGTTCTACCAAACCAAGATGCTAAAAGAACGTCTAAGTGTTTTGGACAGAATTAGTGGATTGCTCTCACTCTGCTCTGTGCACCTGTGCCTGATGTTCTGTCTGTAGTCTGTGGGCAGACCTTCTAAGGCCAGCATGGCCTCATTTCTTGTAAAGGAAAAGCTTGTGTACACTCAAGCTATTATAAAACAGAAACTTGCTGCCTCTTTCAGGAGAATACGCTTGGTAATTGTACAGGTCATCAAAACAGGTGCAAAGTCCTTCAAAGTGTTTCTTTGAACAAGCTCAGTTTAAAGCTAATTTCTCAGAAGTAGAGAAATAAATGGTCTGCAAACATAGTTTCAACTTCACAGATGTATTTGTTATTATTAACTTCTCTGCAGCTAGCAAACCCTGTGACTACTGCGCGCTCCCAAACTTTGCTTTCATTACTTAGTTTTAATCTTAGAAGATCAGGTGCTCATGTCCCTCCTCCGGATGTCCTTCAACTTGTAAAAGCTAGTGAAGCTCCTTTGACTTCAACAAAGATACTTTAATGGAAGCAATTTGAAAATTAGTCTAATGGCTGTGTTTTGTTTTTTTCTCTTCTCCTAAATGAGCAACTCTCCCAGATAAGAGTTTCATTAAATTTCTGGGCCAGATTGTTTCATAAAGAGATTTAGCTGATAAACTTAAGAGGAGCTAGGGTTCAGAAACTAATAAAACACTTTGTGTATTTTACTTACTTGCTACTTTTCCATGCCAATTATATTAAGTGTGGTAGACCTATATTAATTAAATTAATGTCTGTAACTTTCTTAAAGTTTCAAATTATTGTAACGTGTAGAAAGACACAAGGACACAATCCTCCTTTGCAGAGATCTCTATTGATGCTCAGACCTGTTCGACTTCTTACTGCTCTCAACTGACTTGTATCACATGTAGACTTTCCCACGTGTCCCAGTATTTACAGAACAGAGTAAAACAATACAAAACAAACAAACAAAAGATTTTTAAAGTAAGGATTTTTAAAAATAGTGAAATAGTAAATGTACATTCACACACACATGCATACACATACATATAATATCCGATATACAAATAGCAGTTGGGAATAACTCTATTCTTGCATCAGATGTGTTAGTGCATACTGACCAGTAGATATATTGTACATCACTGTTCTTTCGGCAGACACCTTCATCACTTCAGTAGAAGTGGTTCAAAGTCATTGAAGTGATAATAACAACCACAGCATTTTAATCCTAGGTCATCATAATACTTTTGCCTCTCAAATTTTGTAAATGTTACAACCAAAAGTAACTATGTATCTCATCATATATGATTGAATCCATCTCTGGCAATTTGAATCTCAGAATTAGCCTTTCAGTGATAATTTAGATGATGAGAAAATTTATCATTACAATGTATACATAAAAATTCAAAGTGTCAAGGCAATATGAAATAAAACTTAGTAATATCACAAAGGTTGTCAATTATGTGTGACATTAATGAATTGCATGATAAAAAGATTTCCAATACAATAATGAATATCTGTCTTACTGATATGCCAGTCAGGAAAACTGACTGAAAAACATTTTTGTCTATATTTGGTTTTTAATTCATAGTGCTTTATAAGTGATATGAACTTATGAAGTCACTACTAAATATTTGCTTGATGTGATATTTATGTTTTCTCCTGCTGTTAGATGTTGTAAAATTTTCCATTTTGTTAGCAATAGATTGATTTTATACTACTATATTTTAATGTTTAGATGAACGATTCAAAATTGGCTTAATTTGGTCTTAACTAAATGCTAGGAGGAGCTGATTCCTAGTACCTACTCAGATTTTCTTCTCAGAGTTTATGCAATATGTATTTTTGTTAATGTTGCACTTATTCTAAATCACTATGAAAATGTCCTAAATCAGTCATTTTCACTTGAAATTAAGTAAAAACCTGTGGTAATTCTAAGCTCTAAATAGCATGCTTATACTTGAGATGTCACTGGAGATTCCCATCTTGAAAAGTTATTGTCTTCCTATCTTTAGCTCTTTGTTGTTGTTTAACTCAGAAGGCAGCTCAGCACCACACAGCTGTTTGCTCACTCCCCATAGTGGGATGAGGGAGAAAACAGGAAACAAAATAGAACAAATGGGTTGAGATAAAAACTGTTTACTAAGACAGACGAAGAAAAGAAATTAAAAGTAAATGCAATGATAAATATATATACATATATTGTCCATATAATTAATGGCCACCCACCAGCCAACACTCAACTAACTGCTGATCAGCAGCCTGCTAGCAGTGCAACATCTCACCACCCTCTGACTGGTGCACAGCCAATTCCCAAGCAACATCTGCCCCCTTGGCCAACTGCCCACAGTTTTAGAGCTTTCTGCATGATGTGGCATGGAATAATCCCTGGCCTGTTTTCATCCAGCTGCCCCAGTTTTGCCCTGCGCCATGTTCCCACGCCTTATTGGTTATGGCCCCTTGTCCAAAGAGTTGCCTAGCCCTGGGCATGTGCAAATTTCTGAACCTCCATAAGGGTTTCTCATCTATGTAGTGCATCAGAAAAAGCCAGATGGTCTAAATCCCCAGGTCCCATACCTGTCTACCATTTGCCCTATACATTTGGCAGAATGACAGCTACTTTGGCGGAAGCCTTCAAGAGTTCTTTCTTACCTTTGGGATAACAGTGTAAGTTTCCTTGGCCATTTATTTTGAGAGCCTGAATTAAAACCATAGATACTCCTACAAGAACTAAATCCATTTAACACCACAATTTTACTTACTCAGATTGTGAATAGAGTCAAGTCTCATTAACTAAAACAACAGAATAATGGAAAGTGGTAACTGACAAGGATATAATTTATATTTCTTCTTGACTCTATAAATATCAGGGTATAAGCGTAAGTATTTGGAAGAGATACTTAAAAAGAATGCACTAAGTTGATTACTTCTCTACTCCAACCTCAGATTCTAACTAGTTTGAATATCTTTTTCCCTCTTGAGCCTGTCTTATAGGACCAAAATGTCTGTAAGTCAAGATGGTTCATTTTAAGCTACCTTGCAGTGAAATAAATAGTTTAGATTGACTCTTCTAAATTTAACGCAACACTAACTATCCTTGTATCGTAAAATACTGAACTTTGTCAGGAATTCAAGATTTTCAACAAAATTTATTCCTATTAAGGCCTCTAATATGTTTCATGAAGGAATACATGGAAAATTAATAAGTGGATATGTGAAACTCCTTGAACACATGGTACATTTGAACAAGTTCCAGGTCTATAAATATCTAAGGTGTGGGGGGCAGAATGGCGAGGCCGGACTGTTTTCAGTGGTGAGTGGAGACAGGACAAGGGGAAACGGCTGGAAACTGCAGCACAGGAAGTTCCGCACAAATGTGCGCAAGAACTTCTTTACAGTGAGGTGACGGAGCACTGGAACAGGCTGCCCAGGGAGGTGGTGGAGTCTCCTTCTCTGGAGATGTTCAAGACCTGCCTGGATGCCTACCTGTGCTACCTGGTGTAGGGAACCTGCTTTGGCAGGGGGGTTGGACTCGATGATCTCTGGAGGTCCCTTCCAACCCCTACAATTCTGTGATTCTGTGAAGTGCGCGGTTAGTAAGACTTCTTGTAAGCTGGTAGTTAAACCATGGTTTTCTGAATGGGAGATGGGTTAATTTTTACTTTGAATTGGAATCTGGTATTTAGCTGTGAATTTTAACTTGAGTTATGTTGTTCCAAACTTGCTGAAGCAGTAATTTTTGTTATACTTCTGCCATTGTGGTTACCAAACCATGATTTGTGTAGTCTATCATCAGTGAGGAGTGGCACTCAGCACAGACCTTTTTTTTTTTTTTTTTTTTCTCAACAAGCTTAAAAGCAACCTCATTAGTAAGTCAGGTAAAAAGAGTAGTATATTTGAAACGATCTTTAAAAATTTAGGCTTAAGTCCTCAGTAATGTATATTTCCTAGTTCATTAATGCAGAAATACTGCACATAGATTTTAATCTCAGAGTTAATAATAAAAGCAATTTTCACTAAAAATATAAAAACTGTAATGGTAGAATCATGATATTGCATTTAGCTCTCCCACAAAAAGTCACTTTATTACTTTCTTTTGACACTTATTTTCATTCTGGGATTAATTTTACTATATAAGGGCTTCTTAACTATTCTATTAAAATTTCCATTCAGAAGCAATAATATCTAAGAGTGAATAATAGTCATGTAAATCATTATTTCATATTAATGTAAAAGATTTTGTAAGTTCTTATGAATTCTGCTGACATGCACAATTGTGAAAAGGTTATCTCTACATTCTGCAGTGATATGCGCTGGAACAAAGGAACTATTTTAAAAGCATCAGTGGAGTACATCAAGTGGCTACAAAAAGAACAACAGAGAGCCAGAGAATTAGAACACAGACAGAAGAAATTAGAGCACGCTAACAGAAGACTTCTACTCCGAATTCAGGTCTGTATGAGGGAGTTGTCATGAACTTCAAAGCTTTCTCAGTCTTCCTACCTCATCAAATTTTATTAATCTGTATCATTTTTTTTCCCAAATGTCACTTACAGCAAAGGCATTTTCCCTGTTTATTGCGGTGTAGATTGAGGAAAGGATATATTTTCAGATTTCTAGGAAATGCCTGTGATCATTATACCTTACATAAAGGAATATGTGGAAAGTTAATAAAGTATGTGTACGAACAGTACATGTTATAGACTAGGAAGGACAAAAAGGAAAGGAAAAGGTACATCTCTCGTGCCAAAAACACAATACTGGACTTAAAATTCCTTTCTGTGTTTTCATTTTCTTCTGTATTTCACATTAAAGTTCTTTAGGTATAGTGTGCAATGTTGTATCTGCTCTTGACACAAATGAACATGATGTGGTGGTGGAAATGCATATATGACTATGCATACATGCAATGATGACTTAGCTAGACAAAAAAATCAGTCATCTTATGTATTGTAATTTACAGCTATGTATGTATATTGTGAGAAATGTGAAGTAAAATATCCTGTGCATCTTTGGATAGCAGTGCACTAAAAGTTTGCAACAGTTTTCTGTCAGTTTTATTAAGAAGGCAGTGATTTCAGAAAACCTCTCATGCATCTTGCATTCCCACAGGAGAGCTGTTTAATGGTGAAAATGGAATTAAAAGGAAAACTAACTGGTGGCTCAACGCAAATTTTCATAGATTAATGATTTTGTATTTTACAACATAGTTTCACAGTTGGACAATAAAAATCTTTAATTTGCATGTATAGTCTGTATACTTATCATGGTAGTTCTGAAACATTATTTCTCTTCCAAAGTCATTATCTAATTATCCTTATTTATTTATTCATTTATTTATTTGTTATTTATTTATTTATTTAAACTTTAGGAACTAGAGATCCAGGCACGTGCGCATGGCCTTCCAGTCATGTCTTCGCTCAGTGCAGTAGATTTAGCTGCTCAGGTCACCAAGCAACAGTCATATCCAGAGGAGAACTCTGTAGACTACTCTCATCAAATGCCTCTGGCTCATGGACCAAATTCTGATGTTTGTGATGGATCTACAGCCTTTTCTGATCCACTTTCCCACTTCACCGATTTGTCCTTCAGCGCAGCTCTAAAAGAAGAGCAACGACTAGAGGAAATTTTATTGGATGACACAGTATCACCATTTGGAGCAGACCCTCTCTTGTCCTCCACATCCCCAGCTGCATCAAAAGAGAGCAGCAGGAGAAGCAGCTTTAGCACAGATGATGGGGAAGATTTATAAAAGCAGAAAGGGCCTCACATTTCCTTGAACCACTTGCTAACAGACTGAGTTGAACATAAGCATGGTGTGTGTGCTTGTTCCAAATATGAATATGGAAAACCACTGTGAAGATAACAGGCAAGGCTTAAATCAGCATTTACTTCACAGGAAAAGGAGATATACATGGATTCAGATCACTTTGCCCCAGATTCACATCATCTGTTCACAGCTGACATTTGCACAAATCTTTCTTCCCTGGAAACCTTTTTACTACTGTTCCACGACTTTTTATAGCAGTATGAAAATGCTTTCCACAAAAGGAATGTCTGTGTTACACAAATGTGTTCAGACTCTGTCTTCAATCTGCATTTACATTTATCTGTTATATATGTGCTGCTTAGTAATTTGCTATTTTTTTTTATAACAATGAGAATATTGTGTTAAAGATTCTACAAAACATGAGAAACAGTAGGAGAATATGTAAACTGGGAACTATAGAGTGATACATGTTTTAAAATCCGAAAAAACAAATAGTAATTCATTTGCACAAGTGAAGTGAGCATGAATTTAAAACCACATAGACTTCCTGTAATGATACAGGAGAAAAATAGAAACTAACATAATGACAGAAACACAAAGAAACTCAAACAGAAAAAGGTGATGTTTCAGTAGAAAGTGTTTAGAAAGACTGTGGATGTACAAGACTGAACAAAGATATTCCACATTACCATCAGCACAATTTAAAACAAATACTACTGGTAAAAGTGCTGTGTAAGCTGCTTATTCCAAGAATAATCAAGCTGTATCCTTCTTGATGTGGAATAGATAAGAATATGGAACAGTGTGCTTCTGGACTGTGCTTCCAGAGCTTTTTGGGAGCACATTAAGGTTTTTCTAAAGGGAGTCTGTCTTTTCCATAGCTATGCCTTTGCATTGTTTGTGAATAGAGAGAATAGGCCAGATTTCCATTATACGCATTGAAACAATGGTAATTCAATTTCAAATTTGCCTTTGCAATCACTATAGAAAAGCAAGTAAGACTTCAAATCAAAGGAAATATTTGGAAGACTTGATGCGTTTTCCTGGAGTACACTAAGTGCAGTCATTCTAATTGTAATATTAACATGTAGAAAATAAGCTCGTACAAGTTCTTCATTGCTCTTCCTCCACCAGCGTCAAAAGAGCATATTTGGGAGTTTTCTAATAATTCAAAATATATTTCAAACGTATGTATTAAGTTTTGCAGTCACTGAGCTCTGCTTGATTTCCCAGAAAATTCGCCTGATTAGAAACAAAGAAGAAAATGGAATGCTGTTTGTGTCAATGGTATAAATGTATTTGAACATACTTTTCAAGAACTAATCCTTTGCTTCCTCCTATTTCCTCTTCTGTTATTTGTACCTGAGGTCTAATTTATCCAGAGCCTTAGCCCATTCCTGACCAACCCATGGTTATGAAACATTATGGTGCGCCCAATTTCATGAGAGTCTGTATGCTTATAGGAAACTCGAGGATACCTGTTTGCCTCTGTAAACTATTTTGATGTAAGATGAACAGAGCAGAAGTAACTTCTTGTCAAGTATGTGTGGGTTCCCAAAAAGCCAGCACAAAACTGGTTCTGATACACTTGTACTGTATGATTAAGATTTTTTTTCATTTTTCATTTTTATTTTTATTTGTACATCGAGGAAAGGAATGGAAAAACAAAGTGATACTAACCAAAATTAATTGACCTCCAATAACTGGAGTGCTTCCTTAAATGACACTCAACAAAACTTGCTTTGTCATAGTTATGCTAAAGACAAGCTAAGTATTCATTGAAATTGGTGTTCATATAAAAAATATGATGAATTGGAAGTAGAATTTGTGCCCACATTGTGTCTAGCTTAGGATGTGTATTGTCCATGTCAGCTAATGAAAGGAAAGGATACTTGATTGACATCAAATGCCATTTGTCCTTGTACTGCAGTTTCTGCTATATTAGTTTTAAATACACCAGTGTGGATTGCTCATAATGGAGAAAAAGAAATTAAAAATGAATGTATTACATGATTTTCCCATTGAACTTTTACATAGGACGTAGACCACAGTTCTGAACTATATTGACTTTAAATAACATCTTGAGTTTCATGACTATTATAAGGACTGCTCTAAAAAAGCATTATAGTTTTAAAAAACTTACAGTTTTAAAACATCCATTAAATGTTTTAAAGTTGATTTTCATTCTTCTGGCAGTTGCTTCAGTCTGAAGCACCAGATTTTTCTCTCTTCCAGCTTGAGAAACCTAGCAGGAGGTAGGAAATGCTCCTTCTGCAATTGCATTAAGCACACTCAAGCTGTCTTCATTCACACAGTTTCCAGCACCCTCCTCTCTGGAAAAGCTAAATGTATCCATGCCTGTGGGTGCGTATTATGATGATGATGTTTCACTACCATTACACTGTTTTCTAGAAGGAAGTGGTCATTAGTGTTTTCACTGTATTGCACCATCATCCTTGAAATGGTGATACAGGCTACCAAAAATGATACACCAGGGCACCACACGCTGAAGATATTGATGAGATCTTTGTGAGGGTAACTGTATCCCAGGTTGTTTTGAATAAGCATCCCCGCTCCCACTTCGATGTGATGAGACTGCTGTGCAGCTGGGAAGGCTGCTGGAGGGCCAAGCAGAACACAGTGCCTTCTGGCTTGCGCAGAGGAAAAGGATTGCACGACTGCAGCAACAAACCCTGATGTCCCTCCTCAGGCAGAATTTCTCTCCTGTCCATGAGAGTTTTACTGGACTAAAATGTGGTGTGCGCAAAACACATTTTTAGCTCTTCCCCAAATCATACAGATCCGTTTAATGAAATCCCATGAAAGAGATGCATAATTTGTCCATGGCTCTGGGTCTAGAAAAGAATTTAAAGACGTACAGAGTTTGACCTCAAGCAGGGCAGGGGGTGAGGAGAACTGGCTATTTTTGTCAAAATGTATTAAATGATAAATGATGAATTCTTGCTTGTTTTCAGTAGCAGCTGTTCAGAGCTGGTGGACACGTTCTTACAGAATACACAAACTAGCAGACTGATAATTACACAAAAGGAAAAGGGAGCTGAAATATTAACATCCTGTTTAATTCATGAAATGGATATGGATACTATCCTAAGAACAGAAACTTAGATTATTTCACTGTGCATAGCATAGATGGTGTGAAAAGCTACAGCAAGTGCAAACGGTTTTAACAAACAGAATACAGTTGTTTTATGTAGTAAAGTAACTAAATATAATTCACTCATTTAATCTCAATAAGAACACTGTTACTGTAATACCTTTTGACTTTAATAGGGCTGTATATATGAATGGAGGATGTAAAATTATTGTAATTTAAAATTATGTTAAGTCTCTTAGATAAGTAAAGGCATTTACATTACTATTATGAGACTGTAGAATATTTTTATAATAATTGCTATTTTTCATTGTTAACCATATAGTATCTTGTTTTCTAAGTCAATGTATGCAGACAGAACGTACTTTATTACACACTGTATATGCAATCTTTTTCAAATTGCATTTTATACAGGCTGGTATTTTATGTTTATTATATGAATACAATTAAAGGACTGAAATTAAAACATCTCTTTATATTTCCCTTGTGAAACTTCACTACCCAGTCCCACGAAGAATGCCATCACAAGACAATATAATAACATCCTCTAAGAGCACCTGAGATACTGAACAGACAAAACACTTCACAACTGCTAAACATTTAGTCCATTATGATACATCATGATCCAGTAGCCTCCCATTAATAAAAATAATTGATACATTCTTTAATATGGTCTCCTGCCATCTGCTTATTCCTGCTGCTAAGGCTTTGATTTATGGAAAGTGTTTTCAGAATGTTGCGAAATTGCTAGCAGGCATGATGATATCAGTTAAATCACTAAGAAGCTCTACAAAAACCTTTTAACGTACTAGATGTTCCCCAGACAATCTAGGATAAACAGAATATTGTATTTTAAGATGTAAAACATTTTTTTAAAGCTGATAATTAGGTAGCATTTTGGCACTAAAAGATATTCTTTCTTAATAAATTGAGTAAGAATTTGGGTTGCTTTTTGAATTCCTAATATCAAAAGTGCTGCTTTCATTACAGTATATTTGGTGCTTTCTGTGCATGGCATGATGCAAATACTGTTAAGTAGTAACATATACTTCAGCTACAGTTTTGTAATAGCTCATTTGTTTCTTGTATAATGGTGCTCATTGTTTGTGTACATCAGATAAACATTTTATTTGTAATAAAAATGCTCTCCAGAATCTTTATTTCATCAAATCAACGACATCCGTATCAGCATTAAAACAGAATAATATCATAAATATTATTTAAAGTCCAGTGATTAGCCATTGAGGGAAGCTTTGCTTTTTTTCTACACATTTATTATGCACTTAGGATTTGATCATAAAAGATACTCAGTTCCTTGTGAGGGACTCAGTTCCTTTGTGAGGGACTGAGAGCCCTCAGTTCACTTTGAAGAAAGGCAACACTCAGCCTGTTGCAGGATCAGATTCTTAATGGCTGAATAAACAGCATCAGAAAATAAAATCAGAAGTTATTTCAAAGATCAGAAAAGCACACTGCTTGATTAAAAGTAGTGATATTTGCAATTGAGAGACAAACAGATTTGATGTCAGCATCATTTGTGCTGACAGCCAATGAGAGATCAGAGGAAAATGTATGAAGTTGTGATAATTATCAGACCAGAAGTCTAATTATAAAGGACGCTACAGTAGTGAAGTATGCTAAGGCTTATTGGTTAAATCACTAGTACCCATCAAGTTAAATATATATCAATTTCATTAATTGGCAACCACAAGACAAGTGTTCTATATTCAGGGTGGTGATGATTTTGATATAATCCACCGCATTGTGGTTAAGTATATGATTCATGTAATAAGAAAAAGATGCCTCCAGGCTATTGTTCCTAGCATGGATTAAAATTTACATATTGCTTCTCCTTATGTCAAAACATCTGGTGCCTGCAAATGCTAACATTTCGTTTAAAAGTTTCACAAGATAGGAAAAGTGGATTGGAAACACTGCCTGTGAATCATTCAAGCATTATAATGGAATAAGAGGCTGAGTTATGAACAGGCAGATTGAACAATAGTATAGTCAAAGAGATTCATATGCTTATGAGTTTGATAGGCAACACTTTATACAAGGAGAGGAAATGCCCCAAATCATACAAAATAATGTTTGGGGGTATTTTTTTTTTTAATGTCATTGAAATAAATCATCTCAGTTCCTTTCCCAACTGCACTTTTTTTCCAAATAAAATCCATGTACGTAAGTGGATGTAGTTAGTGCTAAGATAACGGCTAATGCATTCATTTCATTCATGCATTTCAGAATGTTGGCATTCATTTTCTCTTCTGCCATGTAGTTTCATCAGAAAATTATATGACTCTTTACTTTTTCTATCTATAAATATATGTTACATCACTATATCAGGGTGTACATCAAGGTATATCTCAAAAAATTTGGATGATCAGCTATCCTAATGCTCTCAACTATGTGAAAAACCTACCAGTCCTTGTACCAGCACTTAGACTTAAGATCTTTTTCCTGTTGATTTCTAGATAGGGCGTTGGGTATTAATTTTCAGGTATAAAAAAATAAATTTTCTGGTGCTAAATTACCTGAAAAGCCCCATCACAGACTGCTGAAATTAGTGGAAGCCCTCTGTATGAAAGGAGGCAATGAAGATAATATTTTCCATGAATATTTCCCAGAGTACTTTCCCCTACTGACATCCAAGGAATAGCTAGGAGTGCATGTCTGTTTAGTGCAGATGGTGGTGATACATTCTATTTATTTGCAGTGTTCTTGCCTTCAGTGTCCACATGATTCCAAATTATTTAAATTTAGTATTCCACATTTGGAAAAATTCGTTAGCTAAATATTTCACATTGCCTTCCAAGAAGAGACTGAATTAAAGCAGATTAAAAAATAAAGCCAGATTTTCTTTTTCAATTCTTTGCTGCTCCTTTTGCCTGTTGATGGCACTGTGGTACACCTGAAGAGATGGAGAAGCAGACTTCTTCAGCGTGTTGTTTCTACTTCCTGGCGTCTCACACAGTCAGGCCAGTTCTTGGAGCAGCCTGTGATACTCCCGATCAATTTGTCTAACTTCTTCATTTGTGAAAGAATATTTTTTCCAGATGGATAAATGATGCCCAATTTTCGTTGTTTATCGCTCAACTCCAGAGCAGCTTTAAAATCAGAGCAATATTTCTTCACTGGTGGAAAATTTTTCCCTTGTTCTTCGATTCAAAATTTTGAATTTGTCTTTTTATCAATTAGTGGCACAGCCATATTTTCTCATCATTAAGGTGAGGAACCTCACCAACAAAAGCTTCTGCATCATTCCAGAGCCACTAGGAAAATAAAACAAATACCTGGAATCATTGCAGAAATACCATTTCCACTGGAAAACGATTTCTACAGCTAATACACACAACCAGCTTGCTATAAAAACAAACCAACACAAAGCAATATAGTCTTACTGGGAGGTAAAGTAAGCATGGTCAGCAGTAAGCGCGGAACATAGAATCAACTTTTGCAATAAAAATTTAAGTAGTGTTGTCTTCATTTGGGAATTTACACTTTAAATTACACCCAGTTTGACTTTTTATTTATTTATTTATTTTCTCCCAGTGGGTAAAAACAAGGGAAAACAAACCTCAAGACAGCTAAATATAAGCTAAGGTGAAGACAGGGATTGTGGAAAACTAAAGAAGGTACATTCCTGATCCCAAAATATCACAATGGATGCCAGTGCACTGAGGGAAGATCTCTCAAAGGCAAATTTCAACCTGAGAGACAGACAGGGGAGCCCCTTCCTTTAGGGAAAGAAAAGATGTTATTTCTGTCTCTCTTCAGGCTATTCACAGCTTCCATGTTAAGCTAGGAGTGCTGCTCCTCGCCCACCTCTCTCACATCACTTTTTCTCCTCACCTTTTCAAACTGTGCTAGATTCTGGAGGACAGAGCACAGATATTCGTCCCTTCCTGCTTTGCTGATGTGTGAGGAGCATCAGCGACTCCTCCTCCTTGTCAGAGCCCAGATACAGCCTCAGCCAAAGCTGATCAGTCAGTGGTTCAGCAGATTGGTAGCTGT